AATAATTAAGTCAATAAATAATGATAAGGGTTAAATATAAAAAAAAATCACTTAATTTACCATGTCATCAAAAGATATCTTTCTTTATTAATGAAGTGGGACCCATTTGAATGAATTTAACACATGATAATATGATTTGGCATGAGGGTAATATGAAATGTCAAAATGTTTGTCCATATCATCACTTTGCTCTCCACATCATCAAAAAAAATATAAAAAATGCCACGTAAGCGGAGTTAACGGCCTAAATTAACAGAAGAACTAACAGAGTGCATTTTGTGAAGTTGAGGGATCAAAAAAGTGCAAAAAATTGTTGAGGGACCAAAAATGTTCATTTCTTAAAGTTGAGGGACCAAATTAAGCATTTAACCTTGTTAGTTATTTTTGGGCAATTGGTTTTTTGTTTTTGTTATATGATTGTTTGCCAAGAGATTATTCAAATTGCAGGTTGTTGTGGATTTTTGGGCAATTGCAGGTTGTTGTTTTTGAGGGATTTTTGGGCAATTGCAAGTTGTTGTGAGGAATTTTTGAGCAATTGAGTTCAATGAATGGAGCTGGGTTTGATGGAACCTATTTGCTGGGTTACATCGAACCCAAATCCAGGTTCTGTCGAACATGGAAGGAAGAAAAACAGTAACCGATGGGCAAAGATGGTGATGTGGGACCCATTTGGATGTATTTGGCACGATTTTGCCAGGTAGCATGTGATATGGAAGAAGTTTTATGCATGTCATCACTTTTTTAAGTTTTGCTTTCCATATCATCAAAAAAAATATAAAAAATGCCATCTAAGCAAGGTTAACGGCCCAAATTAACAGAAGGACTAACAAAGTGCATTTTGTATAGTTGAGGGATCAAAAAAATGTAAAAAATTGTTGAGGGACCAAAAATGTTCATTTCTTAAAGTTAAGGGACCAAATTAAGCATTTAACCTTTATCAATCCCTCCTACACGGCTGGAACTTCTCTGTTTGCATACTGCGTATGTTGAGAATTTGTTTGCAAAAATAAATACTTATAACAAGAATAAACCCTGAATAAAACAGATTTTCTATGGTCTAATATTTGCAAAATTTATACAATTAGTGTGGATTACACGCCGTCCCTTTTTACATTTTGTTTTACCCTTTATTGTAAATTTGATGAAAACTCATGCCCTTAATTTTGCCTTTTGTGTTTTGAAAAAGGTTAAATGCTAAATTTGGTCCCTCAACTTTAGTGAGTTGCACATTTTTGGTCCTTCAACAATTTTTTGCACTTTTTTGATCCCTCAACTATACGAAATGCACTCCGTTAGTCCTTCTGTCAATTTTCGCGGTTAACTTGGCCACATGGCATTTTTTATATTTTTTTTGGATGACATGGCAAAAATAACTTAAAAGGCGCTAATTTGGACTTTTTTTTGGCGACATGTCATCTTCCTTTCTCATCTTCCCTCTTTGCAAAATTAACCTCCACTCCATCTGCAAAATCAATCTTAACCCATTTCTTCTTCCCTCTAAATGCTCTCTCATCTCCACTCCTCTACAAAACCGATCTTAACCCATTTCTTCTTTCTCTCTAAATGCTCTCTCATCTCCACTCTTCTGCAAAACCGATCTTAACCCATTTCTTCTTCTTCTCTTTTCTCAAGAGAACTTGAGAAATTGAACCCAGTTACTGGGTTTCATTCAAGCCTCAAACTTAGTAAATCTTATCAAATCAAATTAGCCATTCAATAAACAAAATAAACAATATTAATCAAACTCTAATCAAACTCCAACAAAAATACAATCAAATTGTAAATCAACTCTCAAATTTATTAATAACTGGAAATGAAAATCCAAAGAAGAATGAAAAAACATAAATTCAGCATCGAAACAGCAAAGCTGGGTTCATTGGAACCCAGTTGGGTCTCGTCGAACCCAACAGTTGGGTTTGGGTAAACCCAGCAAGGCTGGGTTAGACGAGACCCAGCAGGGTTCGTCGGAACCCAGCCTTGCTGGGTTCGGGGAAACCTAGCCAGGCTAGGTTCGTCGAACCCAGCCTGCTGGGTCTCATCGGAACCCAGCAAGGGAGAC